GTGCTGCGAGTAGCCGCCCGAGTGCGAGAAGCGCCGGCCGCAGCGCCCGCAGCGGTACGGCTTCTCGCCCGAGTGCAGCCGCGAGTGCTCGATCAGGTGCTGCTTGTGCCTGAACGCCTTGCTGCACACCTCGCAGCGGTGGGGACGCCTGCCTGCGACGGACAGGGAACGGCGGGGCGGGGTTATCGCCCTCGCACGGCATGCAGGAGGTCGTGGGTTCGAACCGGGCGCTGATAGCCCGCTGTATATTTGCATACTCTTAGTTTTTTCGGTAAAGTCACGTAGGTAAAAAATGAAATTAATAAAAATAAAATAAAAATCACGGCGTTTTGGAGGCAACACAAGTCTCCGTCATCAGGTGGGGACCGTCACAGCCAAATTTGCTGTATACAGCCTCCAAAACGTCGTGATTTTTTTATTTTATTTTTATTAATTTTAATTTCATTTTTTACCTACGTGACTTTACCAAAAAAACTAGGAGTATGAATCCTTGCAGTCACGAAAGCTTCAAATCTAGAAGTATATTTGCAGTTTGCGTGTTCTCTCTCCCCATGGTGGCGTGGGTTTTCCTCCAGGTGTGTTGGGTTCCCCCCCCCCCCCCACACACATTTATAACAGGCATTTAGATTATTTGGCTGCTGTGAATTTCCACACGAAAAGCCACTTAATTGGGCTACAATTCGTGATCGCAAGGTCGCTTCTGAAAAAGAGCTGCATAGCACAGTGGGCCTTACCTGGTAGAAATAAGAGTTAGTCGGGTTTTTTAGTAAAATAAAACATCAGCGAGGCTGGGGAGGCTGCGAGATTCACTTCACGTGGCTGACGGCATGAAACGGGGGCGGTAAACACAGCGGTGCCCACTGGGGATACTCTTCACCGCCGACATGATAAGCCTCAACATGAAATCGGTTTTACAAATAAACACCAGCTGTGCTGCTAATTGCACTCCGGTTTTGGTGGGTGAGCAGCGCGTTGACACGGCGAGGCAGCGACACCCAGAAACCAAAAATACCCACGCGGACGCACGCACACACGCACGCGCACGCACACACGCACACGCACACACGCACACGCACACACGCACACTCGCACACACGCACACACGCACACACACACGCACACGCACACACACCACACACACACGCACACACACGCACACACGCACACACCACACCGCGCACACGCGCACGCGCACACACGCACACACACACGCACGCACGCACACACGCACACACGCACACGCACACACACACGCACACACGCACACACCACGCACGCACACACGCACACTGGCACACACGCACACACGCACGCACACACGCACACACGCACACACACCACGCACACACACACGCACACACGCACACACGCACGACACACGCACGCACACACGCACACGCACACACGCACACACGCACACACGCACGCACGCACGCACACACGCACACTCACACACACGCACACACGCACACACACGCACACACGCACGCACGCACGCACACACGCACGCACACACGCACACGCGCACACGCACACACGCACACGCGACACACGCACACGCGCACACGCGCACACGCACACACGCACACACGCACACACCACGCACACACGCACACACGCACACACACCGCACACACACGCACACACACGCGCACGCACGCATGCACGCCCAACCGCGCACACAATCGTGTTAGTGGGCGACGCCGGTTCATTACACGGCGTGTCAGTCATGCCGTTCATTCTTCCATTTCGTTAAAAACTTAAGCGAGTGCCGACGGTCGCGCGTCATCCGATTATTACAATTCATCACCTGCCTCCGCCTCCGGAGAAGACGCGTGAGAGCGGCGCACGATGGATGAAACCCGCCGCCCGTGAGCGCAAGCGCGCGGGGACGCGACGCCGCGTACCTGCGTGCTCGTACTTGTGCCGCGGCAACAACGGGCCGCTCTCCTGGAAGGTTTCGTCGGACAGGTCGCGGGCGAACGAGCTCCCGGGCACGCGCTCCCCCCCTCTGCCGCTTGCGCGCGGGAGCTCCCGAGTCTGTCACCACGACCGAGCCCACGGGGACTCCCTCTCCCCGCTCAGGAGACTCTCCCTGTGGAGCGCGATCGCCGGTGAGCCGCCGAGGTTAACCGACGGAATTTCGTCTCCTTTGCGTATTTGCCTCTCAGCTACCCACTCGGCCATCCACCCACTCAGCCACCCACTCAGCTACCCACCCACTCAGCCACCCACTCAGCTACCCACTCAGCTATCCACCCACTCAGCCACCCACCTACTCAACTACCCACTCAGCTATCCACCCACTCAGCTACTCACTCACCCAGCTACTCACTCACCCAGCTACACCCACTCAGCTACTCACCCACTCAGCTACTCACTTACTCAGCTACTCACTTACTCAGCTACTCACTCACTCAGCTACTCACTCACTCAGCTACTCACTCACCCAGCTACTCACTTACTCAGCTACTCACTCACTCAGCTACTCACTCACTCAGCTACTCACTCAGCTACTCACTTACTCAGCTACTCACTTACTCAGCTACTCACTCACTCAGCTACTCACCCACTCAGCTACTCACTCACCCAGCTACTCACTCACCCAGCTACTCACTCACTCAGCTACTCACTCACTCAGCTACTCACTCACCCAGCTACTCACTCACTCAGCTACTCACTCACCCAGCTACTCACTCACCCAGCTACCCACTCACTCAGCTACTCACTCACCCAGCTACTCACTTACTCAGCTATCCACTCACTCAGCTACCCACCCACTCAGCTACTCACTCACTCAGCTACTCACTCACCCAGCTACTCACTCACTCAGCTACTCACTCACCCAGCTACAATCACTCAGCTACATCCTTGTGGATGTGCACAATGTCAGCAGCGTTGATTCAGAACAAGCAGATTCTGGGATCGATATTTGACATACAGTGTCTCATCAGCCGAGGCAGACTCACTTGCATCAAGATTTTATCTGGAGGGACCCGCTCTTTAATATGTGGATCCTAGTTCGACGCAACATCACGTAATACGAAGGATTTCAGCAATGAAACATTCACGCATCTATCTCTCCGCACAATGAATAAGGTTCAACACGTGAATTGTAAACACAAGGCGGCACCACCGGTGCGCGTGTGCTTCCGTGTTAGTCCAACAGCGCAACCTCCAAGCAGTTTATTCTTTGGTTCTTTCGGTAAAGTCACGTATAAAGATAAAATAATAATTTAAATTAAATACTAGCGTACGACGTTTCGATTGCAACACAAGCAATCGTCATCAGGTATAAACGAAATAGAAACACAAATCTAGTATACTTAGAAATGTAATGTAATACAACAGAGAGTCGGATAACATAACGGTCAACACCCTACCTGCTTGATTACATTCTTCCTGAGAATGCTAAATTTGAGAGAGAGATTAAACACAGAACCAGAAACATAGACAGACATATAAGCAGACAGATATCACAGAGATACTCCAAGCAGTTGCTCTTACCTGTGCAAAGTGGCGCATCTTATCGTGGAAGTCGGCGAGAGCAGCCGCGTGGGACAGCAAGGCTGCTTGGTCCAGGCCCGTGTAGGGACTCAGGCCGGGGTCACCCATGTGGAGGGCCGCAATCAAACCGGGCGGCAGAAAGGCCGCGAGCACGGGACCGTTGCCGTAGCTGGAAGTGACCGTGTTCATTGTCGGCTTGTTCTCGTGTAAACGGTCAACGCCGTTGTTGCTCGAGCCGTCGGTCACGTGAGAAGCACTCGAGTCCAGCTCGCCGTGCGATCTCTTCGCGTAAGTCAAGTCCAACGGCTCCTCTTGGCGCTCAACGCCACTCGAATCGTGGAACTCGACAAAGCCCGTCTCTCCGAGCCTCGCCGTGCTCAACTTTGGCACCGACAAGTCGAGCGGCCGGGCCTGGTCTCGACCGCGGCGAGGACCGTCCGCCACGCCGGCGGGCTGCCCGCTCTCCGCGTGACCTGCCGCCGAGTCGGATCGGGCACCCGTCGGCGAGCCCGCCAGGTGCCGCTCCGGACTTCCCTCCGTGCCGTGGCCGGCGTGCCCAGCCGATGCCGGGCCGAGCTCGCGGGAGGGAGAGCCGGACGCACGGTGCTCCGGCGCTCTGCCCGCCGCGTTGAATTTCTCCTCCAGCCACTTGGAGAAAACGTCTCTGGGGAGGTTCATGGCCAACGACATCTTCATCGACTCCTCGGGACTCGCCTCGACACTTCCGGCAAGGCAGTACGACTTCAGGGAAGCCGACTGGTCTCCGAGTCCGGTAGCGCCGCTCCCTTTCAACCCCTTTCCGGCCGACGACTTCGACTTCTTTCGTTGAGCCGGAGACGGAGGCTGCGGCGCTGCCGGTTGAGGCGACGCGTCGATCTCGTCGTTCACCTTGCAGAGGTAGCGCTCGTGTTGGCGCAGAGGTACTGCGCTCGGAAACGGTTCGTGGCGATAGCGGCACGCGTGGCGAGCCGCCCCTTCCACGTCGGAAGAACGCTCGTGCAGATCCGGCTCTTTGGTCTTGATCTTGCCGGCGGGACGACCCGTGGCCTCCGGTCCACTGATCCGCAGGAAGTCCTCGTTGTCATCGTGACCTGAGCTCTGGGTGGCTTTGGGAGACGTGGCGACGGCCCATTCCATCTTGCCGGCGTCAGCCGTCGAGGCAGCGGCAACTGGAGATGTCGCCTCCCGCGCCGCGCCGTCCGCCGTGACGGAGCCCACGCACTTGTTGGCTCTCTTGTGCGAGCTGTACGAGCCCGAGTGAGAGAAGCGCTTCTTGCAAATTGGGCACCCGTACGACTTCTCCCCTGGAAATTACAAACAAACACAGCCACGATGGAGGTTTCTGGGTTACATCGCGTCAGTGTGAACGACGCGTCGTCAAAAACCGACACGGCCGGTTCGTAAAGTTTGCGACGCGAAACACAACGTGCCGATTCATTACACGAGCTCAGCACGCCGGCGTGCTGGAGAGCAAACCCACGACATTTGCAATTCAAGTGCGGCGACGTTTTCGCCAGTAACTACAACCAGCGTCATCAGGTGGGCAGCCAGAATTGTGGACGATATCGGTCGCGAAAGTCGTCGTGTCAAAGCAAAACATTATAAACGCATCATCCAAAGTGCCGCGTGTGACGCGGTGAATGCGGCCTGCGCTGTAGACACACGCGCAGGAAGGAAATCACAGATTTGAAGCTTTCGTGACTGCAAGGATTCATATTCTTAGGTTTTTTCGGTAAAGTCACCGTGTAGGTCAAACATCAAAATTAATGAAAATAAAATAAAATAAAAATCACGACGTTTCGGAAGCAACACAAGTCTCCGTCATCAGGTGGGACCGTCACAGCCGGATTAGCTGCATCAAGTCGTGATTTTAATTTTATTTATTTTCATTAATTTTGATGTTTTACCTACGTGACTTTACCGAAAAAACCTAAGAATATGAAGGAAATCACGTCGGTGGGTGCGTTCTGCCAAACGTCGCAATTGTTCCACACTCACCGCTGTGGATGCGGAAGTGTTCCTTGAGGTGGTGTTTGCTCTTGAAGTCTCTCCCACACTCTGTGCACTTGTGGCTCGCGGCAGCGGGAGGCTGACCCTTCTGCGCAAAGATGGAACAGAGGTGCGAAGTGAGAATCAGAATAATAAAACAATTTTACCGGAGAGAATCAGATGAGCTATGAAGCTCTTCAGCATGGGCGTTGGGTAGGGGCGAGTAAGCGCGACTCCGCAAGCAGCTCAACGACGCGTCGCGACTTCTATTCCCCCGCACACATTCAGACAGACACATTCAAACAGACACATTCAGACAGACACATTCAGACAGACACATTCAGACAGACACATTCAGACAGACACATTCAGACGGACGCATTCAGACGGACGCATTCAGACAGACGCATTCAGACAGACGCATTCAGACAGACACATTCACAGACACATTCAGACAGACACATTCAGACAGACACATTCAGACGCGCATTCAGACAGACACATTCAGACAGACACATTCAGACAGACACATTCAGACAGACACATTCAGACAGACATTCAGACAGACGCATTCAGACAGACACATTCAGACAGACACATTCAGACAGACACATTCAGACAGACGCATTCAGACAGACACATTCAGACAGACACATTCAGACAGACACATTCAGACAGAAGCATTCAGACAGACACATTCAGACGGACGCATTCAGACAGATGCATTCAGACGGACGCATTCAGACGGACGCATTCAGACGGACACATTCAGACAGACGCATTCAGACATACGCATTCAGACAGACGCATTCAGACGGACGCATTCAGACGGACACATTCAGACAGACGCATTCAGACAGACGCATTCAGACAGACGCATTCAGACAGACACATTCAGACAGATGCATCAGACGGACGCATTCAGACAGACACATTCAGACAGACACATTCAGACAGACGCATTCAGACAGACACATTCAGACAGACACATTCAGACAGACACATTCAGACAGACGCATTCAGACAGACACATTCAGACAGACACATTCAGACAGACACATTCAGACAGAAGCATTCAGACAGACACATTCAGACGGACGCATTCAGACAGATGCATTCAGACGGACGCATTCAGACGGACGCATTCAGACGGACACATTCAGACAGACGCATTCAGACATACGCATTCAGACAGACGCATTCAGACGGACGCATTCAGACAGACGCATTCAGACAGACGCATTCAGACAGACGCATTCAGACAGACACATTCAGACAGATGCATTCAGACGGACGCATTCAGACGTGCGACGATGCCGGCAAACGGGGGGTCAGTCACCTGGCCCGCCCGGGGAGGTCGCGGTGATGTGTGGAGATCCGCGAGGGCCCCCTCGTGCCGGCGGCGAACGTGCTTCCGCAGCGAGCCCCGACGCTTGTAGCCGCGGCCGCAGTGAGGGCACGACAGCAGCGGCGGCGGCGGCAGCGGCGGCGCGGCAAACGAGCCGTGAGTCCTCGGGCCTAGCGGGGAGGCACGGAGCGAGGGGGCCGCTGGTGGTGCGTGAAGAGACGACGCAATCCCACCGATGTGACGGACCGCTGTCGAGTTTGGTGGTCCGTGTTGTTCACGTCGTCTGTCGTGAAAATTCGGTCACGGTTCCTACGATCGCTGTTTCATTGCTTTTATGGCCAAGCGTGGTGGTGTTTTCTTTTAGACGCTGTCGCCTCGACAGACCTGTTCTTCACCTGAGGACGGCTGCTTGTGTTGTGGCCGAAACGTCGTGAGAATTATTTTATTATGTTTTATTTTTTATTTTATTACTTCCCTTCTACGTGACTTTACCGAAAGAACCAAGAAGATTTTATGGCTTTGTTTTGGTGATTTTCGAAAAGTGTTTTTGGTTTGGCCGTGTTTTGTTTGTTGTAGAACGGAGTTAGACTGATGGCCTTAATCTAAGTTGCACGCCTCCCTCTCATTCCGCTTCTCACTCTGCGAATGCGTCGCTTAACGGAGATGCCACCGCCTGCGTTGGCAATACGCAATTGCCGGGTGTCTTGCGATGCCGCTGCCACAAGCGTGGCACGCCCGGCTCTGGTTGGCCCACCCCGAACCGCTGAACGTAACGATCGCTTGGTGAAATTAGCCGCAATCCAGAATAACGTTTGGCCACGTGGCCCAGGGGTAGAGAAAGTCGCTCGCAATCGGGAGGCTGCGAGTTCAAATCGTCATTTGGGGATGGGAAGTTGATTCAGCCCGTCACCGCTTTGGTCTCTCACGCCATGGGAATGTGAAATTCCCACCAGTGGCAATGAATCGGTACCCAGTGAGACGATCACAGCTGCCTCAATGCTCGCTGGAGCAGAACATATACTCTGTGGATTTAGTTCTTGTTGTTAAGTCGACAAATGCTACAAACGTGTTTTTTTTTTTATTTAAAGCTTCCGTGACTGCAGGGATTCATCTTCTTGGTTCATTCGGTAAAGTCGTCACGTAGAATGGAAGTAATAAAATAATAAAATATAACATAATATAATAATTCTCACGACGTTTCCGCCACAACGCAAGCAGCCGTCCTCAGGTGAAAACCAGGTCTGTCGAGAAGACAGAAGACAGGTCTGTCAAGAAGACAGAAGATAGAGTCTGTCTTCTCGTCAGACCTGTTCTCCACCTGAGGACGGCTGCTTGCGTTGTGGCCGAAACGTCGTGAGAATTATTTTATTTTATTATGTTTTATTAATATTATTTTATTATTTCCCTTCTACGTGACTTTACCGAAAGAACTAAGGTGTTTTTTTTTCCCTTTCATTTTAAACACAACGCTAACAACTACGCTGTAAAGTCTGAGCACGTGCGCTCTTACCGCCACCGCCACCACCACCACCACCGCCACCACCACCCCATCACCACCGCCACCACCACCACGGCGAGTGGCCCCACTGCCCGGCACATCGCACTCCGCCAATGTCCCGTCCTGCGCACTGCCCAGCGCCTCGGCAGTCTTGTCCACGCCGGATTGACACCGGTCCCCTCTAAGTTCGTCTCGTCATCCTCCGCCGCCGCCGCCCCTCCACCTCGTCTTTCTCCTCCTCTTCGTCCACCTCCTCGATGATCTGCAGCCTCTCCTCGTCGTCCTCATCCGGGTCGCGGTCTCGCATCGCCGCGCTCGCGTAGCTCGCCACTGCGACCGAGCAGAGCGGCGCGTCAGCGCGTTTGCCGACGGTTTTACCTTCAAGGGTGTCACTCAAAGGAAACAACCAGGAGGACAACTGTGGTGAACATTGCTTCACGCTCGCTTCTAAAGATCCATTGCTTTGTTATTTCGATGTAAAGCTTTCGTGACTGCAGGGATTCATCTTCTTGGTTCTTTCGGTAAAGTCACGTAGAAGAGAAATAAAATTATATTATCATATTATTTTATTATTTATTATATGATATTATTATATTATATTATTATATAATATATTATTATATTATTATATTATTTTATTATTTATTTTATTATGTTTTATTTGTATTATTTTATTACTTCCCTTCTACGTGACTTTACCGAAAGAACCAAGAAGATACTTTATTATTATTAATATATTCTCCCCCCTCCCGCCCCCCCATTCCCAGTGTGTGGTCTAGCACATCTGACACGAACATCATTTTTGTTCACCTACGTGACTTTACCGAAAAAAAACTAAGAGTATGAATCCTTGCAGTCACGAAAGCTTCAAATCTAGAACATCATCACATCGACAGCGAGGATGACCGGGCGAGACTGACGCCACGTGCTTTGCCAAGGCCAGGTTTGTTTTTCTCCCACCGTCCCACTAATGGCTTAGGTCTGTGAATAAACTTTTACATTGCGCGCAGAGGTCACAAACGTGGTTTTGATTCCTTACCCGTACCTGGCCGCACCAGGGTCGCAATTGGGTACCCGTACCCGGCCGGGTACAGGTACCCGTTCCCTACCTGTACCCGTACCCTACCCGAAATGAGTGACAAACGGTTACTCACCAGTGACTCACGGCCGACCCGTATCCGTACCCGGCCGCACCAGGGTCGCAAACGGCTACCCGTACCTGGCTGGGTACGGGTAGCCGGCTATCGGGTAGGGTACGGGTATCGGGTACCCGGTTGCGACCTCTGGTTGCGGGGGATCTGTGTGCCTATGAGGAAGTGTTCCTGCATGCGGCAAAGACTAATTCCATGCCGTTCTGGCTGACCATTCACGGTGACAGCAACGCACAGCGTTGCCACGTCTTACACGTTTTGTTTGGGGGGGTTTTATTATCCCGAAAAAGTTCGCTTAATTTTCCGACCGTACGCATATTTTTCACCGTTGCTGAAAAATATCACTAAAAATGAACACCGCTTGTGCGGATTGAATGCAACAACAATTCACAGCGTAACCAGTGAGACGGTTCGCTTGAAAAAAGAACGTATCCTTGACTGCATTTGGTCCCCGTGTCACTGTCACGGACCGCAGGATTTGCACATTTATTTTTTCTAACAAATAAGGCCCACTGAGTCATGTCGGTTTTTTAACAGAAGCGACCTGGCCAAAAATGATAGCTCAACAAAGCAGCCTCTGTGTAAGTTTATAGCAGCCAAATACTTTGAACGCATGTTGATTCTAAACGTAGAGGTAAACACCGGATGACCCGGAGACAAATCCACCCGCCACCATGGGGAGAACACGCAAACTCCAAATATACAGCAGCAGGCGTCAGGGTCGGGATCGAACCCACAACATCCTGTATACCAGGCGAGGTAGTTAACATCTCCTAGCCACCGTGATGATGATGAGAGAGAGAGAGACACGCAAGCTCCAAATATACAGCAGCAGACGTCAGGGTCGGGATCGAACCCACGACCTCCTGTATACCAGGCGAGGTAGTTAACATCTCCTAGCCACCGTGATGATGATGAGAGAGAGACACGCAAACTCCAAATATACAGCAGCAGGCGTTAGGGTCGGAAATGAACCCACGACCTCCTGCACACCAGGCGAGGTAGTTAACATCTCCTAGCCACTGCAGCAACCCAATCTCAATGTTCAAGGGCTCTTGTATGGTGCCATTAAAAAAACAAAACAGCATTCTTATTCTTATTAACCAGCGCTTACAATAGAGTCAATAGTTCGTTTGCAAGGTTCGAGTTCAAGGTCATTGATTAGGTATAGCCCTGTGAGCCATTCGGCTCTTGAAGGTGGTTACTGTGTTATTACTGTACGGTAGTAATACAGTAACAGAGCTGATCGACCCTCGGGGATCGATACACAAACGAGGGGTGGGATGGTGAGGCTGGCCAGCGACTTGTGGCTTCCTTGTGGCTAAACTCGCGCCATGGGAATGTGGAATTTCCACGGGCTTCTCGACGCTTCTCTGCGGTTGAAATTTTATTGTTTTAAACCGATAGTATTGGACATTAGCGACTAAGTTTTTTGCAACAGAAACTTCTTTTATTATTTCCCTTCTACGTGACTTTACCAAAAGAACCAAGAATGTGAATCCCTGCAGTCACGAAAGCTTCATATCGAAACAACCACAACAACACACAACAACCACAACAACACACAAGATGATGGCAGATATTTAACACGTTGTTATATTTAAACAATCTAACAACACAACCACAACCACCACCACAACAACACAAGATGGCAGATATTTAACACGTTTATATTTAAACAATCTAACAAGACAACCACCACCACACACAACAACACAACAACCACAACAACAACAATATGGCAGATATTTGTCACGATGTTCATATTTAAACAATCTAACACCACCACAACACAACAGCAAGATGGCAGATATTTGTCATGCAAGTCTTTACTTACTTCGTGTTAAACTGCAGTGTTCGTTACTGGGCTGCAACGCCACCTACTCACAACAACACAACAACAACACAACAACAATATGGGCAAGCTCACACGAGAGTGGGGGAGAACTTAGCAGCAGCAGCAACAACAACAACACAACAACAATATGGGCAAGCTCACACGAGAGTGGGGGAGAACTTAGCAGCAGCAGCAACAACAACAACACAACAACAACATGGGCAAGCTCACACGAGAGTGGGGGAGAACTTAGCAGCAGCAGCAACAACAACAACACAACAACAGGGACACTGGCGAATTGAATTGTCATTTGATATTTGAGCCCAGCCACTTACTGCCACCCAGTGGCTTCTGCTAAGCGCTGCTGTTGGAGTGCAAGATGACAAATCTGACCACAGCCTGGGGCACAATGGCCCATCATCATCATCATAAGCCCTTTAATAAGCATGGCCGTTGACCCTGCAGGCCACTGAGCGAGCAACCCAACGTTCCTACCAGCTCCCTCCGCAGCAGGACGATGTGTTCATACACTAACATCTATACGCAAGGCGACTTTTGGGGGTAAATAACAGCTATTGTTTTATTTTTCGATTTAAAGCTTTCGTGACTGCAGGGATTCATCTTCTTGGTTCTTTCGGTAAAGTCACGCAGAAGGGAAGTAATAAAATAATAAAAATAAAACATAATAAAATAATTCTCACGACGTTTCGGCCACAACGCAAGCAGCCGTCCTCAGGTGAAAAGCAGGTCTTAGAGCTGCCTTGTCTCCCTCGGACAACCGTGTCTCCCGTGGCCTACACAAAGAGCGGAGCAGCTGCACGAGAGAGACACGGGGAGAGAGAGCACACAGGAGAGAGACACGGGGAGAGAGACACGGGGAGAGAGAGAGACACGGGGAGAGAGACACGGGGAGAGAGACACGGGGAAGAGACACGGGGAGAGAGACACGGGGAGAGAGACACGGGGAGTGAGACACGGGAAGTGAGAGACACGGGGGGAGAAAGACACGGGGCAAGAGACACACGGGGAGAGACACGGGGAGAGAGACATGGGAAAGAGACGTGGAGAGAAACATGGGAGAGAGACAGAGACATGGGAGAAAGACACAGGGAGAGAGACATGGGGAGAGAGAGACACAGGGAGAGACACGGGGCGAGAGACACACGGGGAGAGAGAGACACGGGGAGAGAGAAATAAGGGGAGATAGACATGGGAAAGAGACGTGGGAGAGAGACATGGGAGAGAGAGATATGAGAGAGAGAGTAAACTAAACTAAATATAAAAACTAAAACTCTAACTGTTTTCGTATTGACCAAGCCCCACTGACGCTTTTTGTCAGAAGTGATCAAAAATGAGATCAGCTCCACTGAGGAGGGGAACATCTTGATCGTCATCAAAGAGACACCTACAGACACCCACAGAGACCCACATACACCCATAGACACCCACAGAGACCCACATACACCCAGAGACACCCACAGACACCCAGAGAGACCCATAGAGACCCACATGCACCCATAGACACCCACAGAGACACAGAGAGACCCATAGACACTCACAGAGACCCACAGAGACCCATAGACTCCCACAGAGACCCACAGAGACCCATAGACCCACAGAGACCCGTAGACACCAGCAGACACGCACAGAGACCTACAGAGACCCACAAAGACCCACAGAGAACCACAGACACCCATAGTGACCCACAGAGACCCACCCAACCATTAATTCACCCACTCACTCTCCTAGACGCTCACTCACCCACTCACTCTCCTACACACTCACTCACCCACTCACTCTCCTACACACTCACTCACCCACTCATCCTCCCAGTCACCCACCCACTCACTCTCCTACACACTCACTCACCCACTCACTCTCCTACACACTCACTCACCCACTCATCCTCCCAGTCACCCACCCACTCACTCTCCTACACACTCACTCACCCACTCACTCTCCTACACACTCACTCACCCACTCATCCTCCCAGTCACCCACCCACTCACTCTCCTACACACTCACTCACCCACTCACTCTCCTACACACTCACTCACCCACTCACTCTCCTACACACTCACTCACCCACTCACCCTCCCAGTCACCCACCCACTCACTCACCCCAACGTTGGCTTATGGGGATGACTTCATACGCACAGAGGTAGTACACACAACAACGACCGCCATTCGTTACCACGATGCGTGTTGCCAGGCCACGTGCACGTTGAGGCCACAGGTACACACAAACAGGTACACACAAACACAGGTACACACAAACACAGGTACACACAAACACAGGTACAAACACACACAGGTACA